AAAAAAAGAAAGAAAGAAAGAAAGAAAGAAAGAAAGAAAGAAAGAAAGAAAGAAAGAGACAGAAAGAAAGAGAAAGGAAGGAAGGAAAGAAGGAAGGAACAAAGGAAGGATGGAAAGAAAGAAAAGAAAAGAAAAAAAAAGAAAGGAGACAAATCGCTAAAGTCCCACTTCTGGTAACCCCGCCTCATCCTCAGGCCACCTTGGTTTTGATGCCAGAAACCAGCTGTCCCTGCAGCATGGGTTAGGGGAATGGAGTCAGCTAGATATGGGCTCAAACCACAGCTCCACCACTCTCTGTATCCTTGGGCCAGTTATTTAACCTCTGAGCCTTGGTTTACTCATCTGTAAAACAGGAATCATTCTACACCCCTTGCAGGGTTTCTGTGAGATTAGAACCAATGCATGTGCCTGGTATACAGAGACAGTAAACAGTAGCCCTGTATTATTCAGAGAGGGCTTTGGTGTGAGTGTCAGTGTCCCCTCCAAAATTTAGGTGTCAAAACTAACTCCCAGCCGGGTCAGGTGGCTCACACCTGTAATCCCAGCACTTTGGGAGGCTGAAGTGGGTGAATCATGAGGTCAGGAGATCGAGACCATCCTGGCTAACATGGTAAAACCCCATCTCTACTAAAAATACAAAAATTAGCTGGGCATGGTGGTGCATGCCTGTAGTCCCAGCTACTCGGGAAGCTGAAGCAGGAGAATTGCTTGAACCAGGGAGTTGGCAGTTGCAGTGAGCCAAGATCATGTCACTGCACTCCAGCCTGACGACAGAGCAAGACTCCATCTCAAAAGCAAATTAAAAAAAAAAAAAACTTAACTCCTACAGTGATAGTACTGAGCGGTAGGGCCTTTGTGAGGTGATAAGGCCATCAGGGCTTCGTCCTCATGGATCAGATTAGTGCCCTTATAAAAGGGCTTGACAGAGTGAGTTCAGCCCTTTTGTGCTCTTCTGTCCCTTCCATGTGAAGACATGGTGTTCAAGTCCCCACCTTGGAAGCAGAGACCAGGCCCTCGCCAGACACTGAACCTACCAGTGCCTTGATTTTGGACTTTCCAACCTCCAGAACTGTGAGAAATAAACGTCTATTATTTCTAAATTACCCAGTCTCAGATATTTTGTTAAGTGCGGCAGATGGACAAAGGCTCTCAGTCCTGAGTTTGAATCCCCACTTCACAAAGCAGTAGTTGGGCTGCCGTGACTGGTTAAACTCTTCAGCTCCACTGTCCTCATCTGTAAAATGAGGCAGATGAACCACTTCTTCAAGACAGATGAGAAGATTCAGATGGAATCACACACAAAGCGTAGAATGCTGCAGACACTTAAACACTGACACACTCACACTCCTTCTCAACAATGGGACAAGCTGGTCCAAAGTCGCAGCAACCCATCCCTGTAACAGTCCTGGCAGGTCAACTACTAGCTGGGAGGCTACAGAAGTACTCAACGAGTGACCAGATTAGTTTAACTTCAAACCCCAGAGGTCTGGACTCCAGAGCAGGGGTCTGAACCAGGTGCCAAGGGCTGAATTCAGCATGCAGATGTGTTTCTTTATGGAACACTGCTTTTATAGAAACTGTAGCTTGCCAGGCACAGTGGCTCATGCCTATAATCCCAGCCCTTTGGGAGGCCGAGGCAGGCCAGTCACCTGAGGTCAGGAGTTCGAGACCAGCCTGGCCAGCATGGTGAAACCCCGTCTCTACTAAAAAATACAAAAATTAGTTGGGTGTGGTGGCGCACGCCTGTAATCCCACTACTTGGAAGGCTGAGGCAGGAGAATGGCTTGAACCTGGGAGGTGGAGGTTGCAGTGAGCTAAGATCACACCACTGCACTCCAGCTTGAGTGACAGAGCGAGACCCATCTCAAAAAAGAAAGAGAGAACTGTGCTTGCTAGGCGGGGCAAGCCTGGCCCGTGAGTGACCCACCACTTCCCACATCCCACACCTGGGCTCCCACATCACCTGTCTGGTTCATGCAGGTGTTTGGGTCTGTGCACCTGCTCTAAACTTCACTATGCAAAGAAACGGTCCACGCACAGAAGCAGCAGCCTCTCTTGGGAAATTGTTAGAAATGTGGCATTTCGGGCCTTATCTCAGACCTCTTGAATCAGAATCTGCATTTCAACAAATACCCCGTGAGGAGATCCAGAGTGGACATGTCTTTGTGCATGTGTGTGGACAGCACACTTCTTCCAGACACACAGCCTGGATGCTATCATTTGGATATTTGTCCCCACCATCTCCAGTGTTGAGATGTGATCCCCAATGTTGGAGGTGAGACCTAACAGGAGGTGTTTGTGTCGTAGGAGTGGATGCCCTCACCAGTGGCCAGTCTCCCAGCCAGCAAAATCATAGCCAAAGAAACCTCTTTTCTTGGCTGGGTATGGGGGCTCATGCCTGTAATCCCAGCACTTTGGAAGGCTGAGGTGGACAGATCATCTGAGGTCAGGAGCTCGAGACCAGCCTGGCCAACATGATGAAACGCCATCTCTACTAAAAA